TGGTTTAATATTATAAATTTTATAAAGATAATAATTAAGTATTCTGTTAGAATTAAATAATTATTCAAATTATATTTTAGATTTTTTATATTTAAAATAAGATGTTTATCATGTATTTGATTATGTTTATCTGCAGTTAGTTACACGAATTCAGATAAACGGCTTTAATAAGTTGTACTTACGCACAATCTACTTGCAATCTTGAGTTTTAAGTAATATGCATTAATAAACAGTACTTTACGCATAAAAAATGGGTTTTAAGAGTTTTTGTCAAATGCGTTATAATATATCATAGATACCGCCAAACCCTAATTTCATTCAGGGACCTTATTTATTAATTTATGTAATCCAAAGAGACCAAATTTGTATTTAACTCTTATAGTTAATAAGAAATTAGCAAAAATGGTAAAAAGGTTCAATGTTATTGTCCTTGGATTAATGGATTGGAGTTGACTTCATTAGAGACAGGGACCTACTTCATAATAAAATGTAAAATGATAGAGACGTTTATTGTGATTATTTAAAAAAAAAAAACAATCTATATTCAGATTCTGAACAAACCACACGAACCTACGATGTAATTTATTTATATAAAACAATTAGATATATTTATTGATATATAATGGTAGTATAGTTTTATTCAAATTTGTTTATTTATCTACAAGCTAGCAATCGATATACAATCAATATAAGAAATCAAAATTATAAAGAATGACAAATTTATTTCTTCAACTTTATTAAACTGTGTTCTCGTAAAAGGAAGGTGTTCTCGATTCAACCTCCACCTCCACCTATACATGTATATTGTAAAACAAAAGGTTTCATAAGCATACAACTCATAAAATTGCCCACTTTCAACCTGACCATAAGCATAAAACTCCAATTTATTATATTAATTAATTGTAAGTATAGACACAGATCTTGATGTGGCGATCGTATTCATATGTAGAGACTTGCATCCGATAATCTTGGAGAGGGGATAGCAAATAATGCTTTCTTTTTCCTGATCACGATGCCGAACTCTTCTGAAAGGTCGAAATCCTCTTCTTCCGGCAACCTCCACTCGAACGAATGGAAGAAGGATGCAACGATATACATCAACATCTTCTCCCCCAGAAGTGCTCCTGGGCATATCCTTCTCCCTGCTCCAAACGGGAAAAACTTCAAGTTGTTCCCTTTGTAATCCCATTTCTCGCTCAAGAACCTTTCGGGGATGAACTCCAGTGGGTCCTYCCAATTCTCRGGATCACGGTGGATCGCCCAAGCRTTCATGATCATGATGGTACCCTTCGGAACAGTGTAACCACCCACTGTGCAAGTTTCACTTGGGCATCTAGGCACGAAGAGGGGAGCTGGAGGTTGTAACCTGAATGTTTCCTTGATCACGGCGTCCAAATATGTCAATTTGGACAAATGAGATTCTTCAACCATGTTGTTCATACCRATAACTTCTGTCAGTTCTCCTTGAACCTTTGCCAATAGCTCTGGTTTATATAAAATATRTGCCATCACCCACTCGACCATGGTTGATGTTGTGTCTGTTGCGGCAACCAAGATGTTCTGTCATAACAACTAATCGTAAGTTCCAAGTGTCATCAACTAAAAATAACAATAATAAATATATAATCGAAATCGAAATCGAAACCGGAAGCAAGTGGTATAAACATTACTATGAGTAGAGCCTTTATTTCATTGATATCAACTGCCGATGTTGGATCATCCTTTTCATCAAGTAAGGTCTGCAGAAAGTCCTTCTTTCCATCTTTCTCCATTTTCTTGGAGTTGGCATTGATTCGTCCGCGGATGATGTTATCAAATACCTTATCAACTTGTTCCCTTTGCTTCTCCATGTCTCGCTGCTTTCCCTGTAGATCAAACCGCTTTAACATCGGGATGAAATCAGAGATGTTTAATGCTGCCAGTAACTCCATAATCTTGTCCGTCACTTGTTGAAACCCATCTCCAACATCGCTAGAATCATCAGACCCTTTGCTAGAACCCCATAACATGCTTGTTACGACTTTCATCTCGGTGTCAAAAGCAACTTTGTTGATGTCGATCTTTGTTCCTATCCTCCCATAAACGTCCTTYACTGTTTTTCTCACTTCCCTGGTTCGTAAAACCCGAGAAGCATCAATATTTGTGTTGCTTAACACTTGGCTCACCAAAAGYCTACGCATATCAACCCARTGTTTGTGGTTGGAAAATGTGACACCGAGGCCGCCATAAGTGATGGCTATGGCCGTGAGCTGTGGATCGCGGTTCGCAAAGGTTTGGTCGAGTTCACGAGTCACAACCTTTACTAGATCCATGTTGTTGACCACCACGTGAAGCTTAGTTCCGAGGCGGAGGCTGAAGATGGGGCCGTATTTGTGAGACATCTGGGTGAATGTYTCATGCAARTTGGGGTTGAGAAACGGGAGGTAGCCRAGAAGTGGTAAGCCATAGGGGCCTGGAGGCAAAGGAGGTGTGGACCTGGCGGACGTCCGCTTGTASCATAGAAGYAGTAGKGTTGGAATGGAAATGGCGAGAATGGTGGGAAGAAGATAGCCTTGTTGGTGGTCGACTTGGGAGCACCATGACCAGAAGGTGATGAATGCAAGGTAGAGCTTGTCTCCAAGTTGTGATATCATGTTAATGTGTTTGAAATGGTTTGTATAATTTGGGAAGAACCCCTACTTCTTATATAGAGTAGTAACGGTCAAGGAATTAGTGGTGCACTACTTATAAAAATAATATATTTATAAAAATAATAATATATCCATATGCAAGTGTCAAATCTTTTGACGTCAAATTAATACATATGGCTTATTGTGCCCATGGAAGGATCTTGGAAGTGTCACATCTTTTGACTGTCAAATTAATACATCTATTAAATCATAATTTCCAATTTATAATACCTATTTTCAAAAAATATATATATATATATATATATATATATATATATATATATATATATAAGAATAACTACGAAGACGAAATTTGTAATGTACTCTTTAATTAATGACGGAAGGTTAATTTGGTAATTTTGTATAACGATGATAATCAGTACATTTATGATGCCGCATCATACTTATTTTTCTATAGAGATTGGAGACCTCTCACACATCAAATATCCGATGACCACACCATGGATCATCACAGATCCAACCAAGTGCAAAAGAGGGATACATGACGTTAGTTTAAATCCTTCTACGACCTCTTCCTTTGTCTCGATTGGTAATTGTTTCCGTTTTATATATGTAGAGTGAATTACGTTTGTGGTTTGCAAAAAATTAGGGTTTCGTTACGATGGTACAAAAAACCCACATGGCATCTGGTGACATATTCTTCTTTCATTCCCTTCTTTGTTTGAATGTGTAGGGTAGGTTGTTGGTTTTTGTTAAGGTTAAGTTTGGTATGTGAAAAGCAATAGTTGATGTTCATAGGGTGCACATAGTCTATTTTCACTCATGGAGAAGATGTTCACAAGGTGGAGAATTTGATTGCATGCTGTAAGTTGTATGTTATATCCATGACACGTGTCATCCAGATACACTGTCAACGAGTCATGTAAACCTAAAGGATGGCACACAAAGAACACGCATGTTTCCATTAAAGAAAAAGAATCTAAACGTGTATACCGTTTTGTGATTATTATAATTACATGGTTTAATTTATAAATATGTATATAATTATCTTAAATGTTTTTAGATAATTATATATGATATTATTAGATAAATAAATAATCAATTTAGATAATGATTAAGCCTTATTAAGAGTAATGGTCAATCTCGAAGACTGACCATATAAATAAGGCTTAGGGGCTAAACCAAAGAAGAGGATTGAGTTCTGATAACTAGTTGTAGCCTCAAAACCCTTACGATACAATTATAGAATTAGGATTCTTTGGGCTAGCACCCGGTGGGAGTTCCAAGCGTGTTCGTTTGTGGACAACCGATAAAGGAAACCTGATTTGGTTTCTTAGTGCTACATCAAAGTTTCAATTTCAACCACAAGGTAAATATTTTAAACACCTTATGGTTTATGTAGATTTGTTTTAATTGTCAATGGATCCGGCTTTGGGTTGTATTTAGTAAAAAATTTCTAAACGTTTTTGTAACCGGGTTCTGTTTTTCTGCTGCGTTTTATCCGGTTATTTTTGCAAATTAAAACCCAACACATGCATAAGAAGTATATGGTCTGTTTTTCTGAGAATAATCGTCGGTGTTCACATTATGTTGTGTTTACTTGATTTCAATTGTGTGATGTGAACATATATCTACTATGACATATGATATCGTAAAATAGAAAAAAAGTAGAGAAATTGTGTAAAAATCTATGTTTAAAGAAATAATATTTTATTAAATGTATAGAATATTTTTAGTAATAAAATTGTTAATATCACATCAGTACTTTTTATTACTGTTATAGTAAATGGTATACGAAATTGTAAGGTATGAGTTTTTTAATAAAAAAATGTATTGATATAATTTTTTCATTTATTAAATTATAAATTTAATATTATATTTGTTCTTTTATAAATTCAATATTAATATATTAATATTAAAAAAATATAATTACCATACAAAAACATTAGAAAAAGTTAATTTCAATGCATGATTATAAACATTTACTTATTAATTAAAAAACACATTATATGTTAAAATAAAAATATATATTTATCTAATTAATCAATTTTACTTTATAATAATCATTTAATTAATAATACTTGTAATTTGAGAGGGTGTTTTTTATTGCGGGTTTGGAACCTACCCGATGGGATAATTGGGTTCCGATCAAAGTTAACGTGTTGGGTTGGCATATCACTATTCATCGTATTCCGACCCGTTTGAACTTGGAGCTAGAAAGGTATTGATTTGGATCCGTGTGTGGTGATTTTCCAGAATTTTCAGACCACATGTTTGTTGATTGTCGAGTGGCCTTCTCTCTTTGGAAAAAACTGGCGGTTTGGTACGGGTTTTCAAATTACAACTTCTTATCTGTAAAAAAGACTTGCTAAAATGGTCAGGGTCGGTCACTATTAACGAGGTGAAGCGAAAACTATTCGATGCGGTTGTTTTGTCAACGATAATGTGACTTGGACTATCGTAAGGGGATGCTTTACCAGAAGATGACGTGACTGGATTCTTTTTTGGATCATACGATTGCAAAATCAATTTTTTGGATCTGTAATAAATGCACGAAAGCAAATTTTTCTGGGGTTGATTGGTTGAAAAATCCAATGACCGTTTCTTTATAGTTTTTTTTTTTCTCTTTATCTTCTTACTAGTCTTTTAATATAATCCTTCTACTCTTAGAAAAAAATATATATTGTATTTTCTTGTTATTTTTGATTAAAATATGGGTTTTTATGATCGTCACTCAAGAGATTTTTAGAAATTAATGGAGTCAAAGATAATTTTTAAAGCTGACGTGACACTTAAGAAGTGGAGTTGATCTCTAACATTTTGTACCAAATTTCTTTAAAAAAATTAAAATTAAAATATCTAAAGAAAATCATATCAAATTTCAACGATATATTTGTTTTGGATATTTTAGCATTAATTTCATTGTTTGTTTCGAAGAAAAATATCTTGGGAATAGAAATGGCCAGAAATCAGGTTGGGCCGGGCCAGGCCAAATTGGTCCCGGCCCTGAACGCTATTCCTATAACCGGGACAAAAAAAATTGGGGAAAACTGTCATATGGCTTTTGGGTATCGGTAATAAAACAATAATATTTTTGATAAATAGGGTCGGGCCCATAATCGGTCCTGGGCCAAACTTTCTTTTTTGACGAAAATTGTAACCAATCCCAAGTCGGTCCTGAGCCTAGGCCGGGCGGGGGCGCATTTGGCCATCTCTCCTTGGGAATAACAAAATCGAGTTTTCTTTTTGGAGAATTCTCCAAATTTTTGAAGAAAAATCTATCACCCCTTCTATTTTCTCCATTTTTAGAGGACTTTTTGGATAAGTTGTTGGAAGAAAAACCTTCGTTTTTCTCCATTTTGAAAAAAATTGTTTGAGATGTTTTTAATGTCACTGGCTCAGAGTACTGATATCACAAAATAAATCAAAGTCATGGTATAAATTTTCTGCATAACAAAGAAAAGTTTACGGTAGTACAAATTGGATAATGGCTGATATGGTCATAGTCAGGAGCACACCTATGTTTCATGGTTTTGTTGTAACGGAAAAAAAATTACGTTTTTGATGGGTGCCGCCATGCATATTGTTCCGTTGAGTGCAAGTATATAGTTTTTGAAACTGAAATGTTAACGTCAAACTTTAATAACGGAAACGATGAATGTTCATGCCTCTATACAAAAGGCATAGGTTTGAGTAACATCTATACAAATCTATATTAATATTACTAGAAGGGTACTCGTGCAATGCAGCGAGATACACTTTAAATTTATTTTTTCGTTTTATATTTTGGGTCTATCGATGTTATAATGCGATTTTATGTGATTTTGAAGAAAAAAAATGTTGTTATTTTTGAATGAAATATAAATTTGAAATAATCATAAAATTTTGAAAAAAAATAAGCAATATTAGTATCAAATTAACTATTTTAAAGTTCTTGTTTTTGTGTGATTTCTTTAATTCAATTTTTTATTATAATTTAACCGAAGTTCAAAAATGAACTAATTTTTTTTTTGGTTTAACAAAAAAATTTATTTAAGATTATTTTTATATTTAAGTATTCTACTTTCTTCATTTTTATATTTAAAATGAGATGTTTACCCTCTATTTGATTATGTTCATCCGCAGTTAGTTACACGTATTTAAACATGGAGTTTTAATAAGTTGTAGTTACGCATAATTTATTTGTAATCTTGAAATTTAAGTAATATGCATCAATATACACTACTTCATGTATAAAAAATGGTTTTTAAGAGTTTTTATCAAATGCTTTATAATATAGTATATAGATAAGTAAATTATTCATTTATTTTTTTAGAGTCAAATTACGTCTTCACTTAAAAAATTTGTGACTACCATTTAGTCATAATACAAGCACATCACAACGCATTGACAAAGGGACTTTGACCAAGAAGATATATAAACAACATTATCAACTTTAAGTTGATTTTTTAATAAACGGCGCATGTTTTTTATGACTAGTATTTTGTTAGGATATTATTTCTTCTATTGTACACTTTCAATTTGACAATTTGTTATTATGTTTTTAGATAAAAGACTGAATTATTGGTCGTATGACGTTAATGGTCATCTTAACGTACGATTTTATTGTGGTGATATATTGACATCAAGTCTTATTTGTTGTCTAATTAATTTAAGTAGGTTCGTCATGTTCGAACCCGTTTTTGAAATTACTACCAAGTAGCGGGTCAGAGGATATTTGTAGGCAAATTCATATGGTATTATAATTTTATTTTGAGTTCTATTTTGGAGGGTACTTTTAGGGATGAACGTGGATGGCTGAAAATTCGATAAAAACGAAAAATTTATATATTTAATTAAGGGTGTTAAAAAAATGTTGGACCGTTCAAACTGGTCGAACCAAGTTAAACTAGATGGTTTTTGGTGGTTTAACGTTCTGGTACGATCTAAAACATAACCAAACCGCTCTGGTATATGGTTTGGACGTTTTTTAGCGGTTTAGATCTTTCCAACCGTCAATAATA